TGATGATGATGATGATGATGATGCATTGAATGATGTATTACCTGTGATGAAAGTTTAATTTGTAAGAGCATTCTGGACAAAGTCCTTTAAAAAAAGAAGAAAAGATTATACACACAGACATTGTAAACCACCCATAGTTCCTCAAATAGGCAGGATACCAATAATTGTCATTAAGTGCATAAATAATTAAAAATTAATATGATTTTGGTGTAGTAGTTAGCAACACTGGCATAGAAACCGGGAAACAGTGTTCTAGTCCTGCCTTAAGCACGAAACCAGCTGGGTGACCTTGGGCCAGTCACTCTTTCTTAGCCTAGGAAGGAGGCAAAGATAACTCCCAAGCAGGAGAGGTCAGGTAAGCCTGTGAATTTGTGTGTGTGTGTGTGTGTGTGTATTGCCATTTTTATGATTATATTGATGTTTTTACCTTTGTTTTCTGCCCAGAGTCACTGATCACACACCCAGAGTCACACACCCAGAGATGGGTGGTCATAACAATATGAATGAATGAATGAATGAATGAATGAATGAATGAATGAATAAATAAATAAATAAATAAATAAATAAAATCTCAATAGAAAAAAAAGATTCCCTAACACTAATTTATAAAATGGAGTGACGATTCTTGTGCAATCATTGGTCAGAATGGTTGTATATCTGCTTGGGTCTATGTGATAGCTGAAAGTCTGATGGCTGATCAACCTCCTTGATGTCCTGCATTCTCCAACTCTTCTACAGAGCAGGAAAAAGAAGTAGCTTGGCCCCTCTGGGGTACAAAAGATCCAGAAATTAACTGTCAATCTACCATGGATTATCAATGGACTTAACTGCACTTTCTTTTGGAAATCTAGTAATTAAATTTCCCTTCATCTACATTTTTAAAACATTTACTGTATTTTTCTACACATTTAATAACTCAAACAGTAAGATCCATTAAAAAATATATAAATATTGGCTAGATGATGGACTTACTTAATTTAACAAGTGCATTTTTCTTTTTGCCATGTTCAACATATCCAAAATTCACCTCCCAGCTCTTTAAGCCTTCTTTTTCATTACAGTGTTTGCTTCCACAAAAAAACTGTCCTGGAGAGAAATTGATCAGAACACTAAATTACTAAGATCATAAGAATTTGTACATGATACTTCACAAATAACTTGCTGAGATTTCCATTTTTAAGGATACTACTACCTTATATTTGTTAAGTGCCACGAAACATTAATAATGGAGAGAAAAAAAATTAACATACTCATATAATACACATTCGGTCTAATCTCTTTGATATTTTGCATAGTTAGGGAAAGGAGAAAAGAATTTATTAGATAGAAATAAAAAACATTATATTATTTACAGTTAGTTATACAAAAAGGTGACAAAGCTGTTTCACAGGTGTTTCCAGATAGCTTCCAGCACTACAAATAAGAATATGTTGACAAATAAGTTGTCAATTAATTTATCTTTTTCACCTTAACATATTTTTTTTCTACAAAGGCTGTTGGAATTTCTGTGAATGAGGTACAGTATTTTATACAAAAAAAGTCTTGTTTGGAAGCACTCTTAAATTCTCCATGATTTGCTTATGGAAACATAATAGTCCTAGGTTACCATAAGTATGATGTAATTTACAAAGCAGTTTACCAGTAATTAGCATATTGAAACATACACAAAATAACTTAGCATTCTATCTGCAAGAACTGGCACTTATGTCCGTGATCTAGAACAGTCCATGTCCATGATCTAGATCAGTGCTTCTCAGCCAGCTGGATGTGGGGATAGAGAATAATCTAAGTATGTATGATTAGCAACATGGCACAAGATCTCTCAGCTGCTCAACTTGAAATGGACTCTCAGCTATTGTGGCTTAAGGTGAGGAAACGTCTGGTTCTTCCCGTTCATTCGAGTAGCTTCCAAAAGGTTTTTGCAAACAGAGACAAGAAGCATGGAAAGCTGTCCCTTGTACTTTATTT